ACATATTTGAAAGATATCTTGCTATTATACGAAATAAAAGTTGAAAGCACTCTATTATTTTAAGTTAATTAAGTATTTCATATGGAAGCGTTGGACGCGGAGAATGAGATAACGGTTCCTTAGTAGACTCGGTTGTTCTGAAAAGACACAAAACCCGACACCGGTGTCCAGATGATAGCGAACAAATAAAACTGTTGACAATAAGAGCGTGTTTGCATTTAGATTTAGTATAACCTCTCAGCCTTGAAAGCGCCCCAAAACCAGTTGCACTTTTACAAAGGATAAACGCAACATGTCCTCAGCAAATCGTGTATTTGGGTCATTCCATACAAACGAAACCACAATCTTCCAAGGTGATCTTCTCTTATTTCAATGAACTCTTTTCCAGTTGTAGATTTATGTAATGATGGCTCCATTCAACCGTTAATTACAAAGTTCAAATTACCTAAATACCTAAGTGGGAGGGGTTGTATACTTCTTTCACATGCCAATACAACGGCTTACAGCCTAGATTTTTCGAATGTCGGAAATGCTTCGTATTATATAGATATCTGGCTGACATTTACCTGGGAAATCTTAAATTAAGTTCAGATTCTCAATATCTTACATATCTGCAGAGATCTACACCAATAAAGGTGGAATTTTGTAAGGATTTTTTGTGCTCAAATTTTAAGGTGGCACTACTGTCTGGTCATCCATCATGCATTTTTTTGAAACCGGTATATACAGAGAATTGTACAAAATTAATATTTTCTAAATTAATTGCACTGTTAAGCTAAGCTATATCTGGAACTCAAACTTAAAACAAATCACAAATTGCGAAAATTGCGCCTTCGTAATAGAAGTGGTATGATCATGTGGGCAATAATTGCCTATTATAATGAATCTTTATTACAGTTTATATATATATATATATATATATATATATATATATATATATATATATATATATATATATATATATATATATATATATATATATATATATATATATATATATATATATATATATATATATATATATCTTAGTTAAACGTTTCCCATATGTCAACTATGAATCTCATTGGATTCATCCTCAAATAATTTGTTTGTTTTTGTACCCCGTTATCCAACCTACCGCCAATGCTGAAAATAGAAAATATAGTACCATCAGAGAGAATCTTCCCTCTTTTAATTAATCACTTGAACGCATAATTAAAATTATATATATATATATATATATATATATATATATATATATATATATATATATATATATATATATATATATATATATATATATATATATATATATATATATATATATATTACGGTATGTTTTTACTAGTGTAATGCATCATCTCTGAGTATTATATGTTGCTTCAGTTTATTAGGATACTGCATAACCTTTGTAAAATATTGCAGAATGATTGCATTATTTCCTAGGAATCATTTACTGGAAATATTGCATCATAAACAGACTGTAATCATGATGTAAATTGAAAATTATACAACATTGTGAAAGCATGAATGGTGCTTCATACAGTTCTTCAGCTTGTAAAAATGCCTAAATATGGAGCATCCGAACTTGAAGTACTATATAAAAACGGTATTTATTACTCATTCTGTACTCAAGCAAAATAAGGAACTACTTCAACTGCAGGGGCGATGCGAAATTCAATTTGAAGAGGACGGATAACTGTGCATCCACCATGAGTGGGTGTTTTTATACGTCATGCAAACTTACAGAACTACTGCTGCAATCCATATGCAGTGCATAAGAAGCACATAATAGTATGTTCGAAATTATATATGTATTGATAACAGAAAAGTTGTTCAGTTTTATGTCTCTCTGATTCATCGCTAATTTTATTTTAGCCTTTATGAGAAACTATATACCGACCATATTAACCGCATAAGTGCTTCATTTATAATCTTAATGACTGGATACATATAGTAAATACAGCAATTGGCCAATGACTCTCTAATTTAAGTTGTAGAACAACTTATCAAATAACCCGGCTGAATTAACAGTTTCAAGTAAATAATCTTTTGACATCGTGCTTTACTGTTATATATGGTGGTTGATCAGACAACGCCCTACGGTTAAGCTTAAAGTCTGGACAAATACTTTGCCTTGTTGATGCAAAAGAATGGACTATGCGAATGACAGTCATTCGGAGAGAAACAGAACATACGAAGAATATCATTAAGTGAAACATGACTGTGCACGTTCCATAAATCTCTTGCCTTGACTTCAGAGGAAGAAAGCGATCCTGGCATTGTCAAAGAAAAATAAAACTAAATAAAAGTTTACATCAGGCAATAAGAGATTTGGGTAATAATCCTAATATTAAACCGTTGGACAAAGGAGATGACTATCCATGAATTCAGCATTACAGAAGGTATGGTAAATATATTGAGGCGGATAGAGACGGAAAGGATGTCTTAGTTGATCCTGGTGCCAAAGAAAGGAGAAGCATTTCCCAGGGAGTGAATGACAGGTTTATCGACTTTTGTCAGTCTGATTAATATTCTTGTATGTGCCCTGGAAAGAAGGAATATGTAATAATTGGGGAACACGATTCAAAGGAGTTGAAAACGTCTCTGATACTAACCACTATCATATAACTTTCCACCAAGTAAAAACCACAAGATATGGTTGAAATTTTAAACTTTGTGAAACGTGTACACAGATTCCAGTCAAGCACGTATTCTGCTTGTGTATGTGAGGATAATGTCAGACTTATAACAGCCGCTATTATGAGAAACATTACTACACAGTCATTCTGTGTAAAGTTGCTTGCAGTGCAGAAATCAACAACTGCTCCATCGTTATGACTCATGCCCGGGGTGAATTGCCGTTTAGTAGTATTTATCAGGTTTTTTTACTTCGTATGATTTTGACTAGGGTGATGCATTTGTGTTAGCATTCACATGACGAGTCTTTTATGTCAAGCGGCTTATGTTGGATTTACAGATAGCCGCTGACGGGTATGATAGTCTCCGTCAGCATCTTTTTATTACCAAAACTCAGTTCAACTACATCAAATACGTGAAGGAAGATATTATCCACGATGAAGCCATTAGTTTTGCTGAAAACAGCTTTAACATCGAAGATGCAAGGACAAAGCTGAGACAACTCTCAAGCCTCACTCCACCCGTTTGTGGTATATTACAAAACGAAAATGAGACAAAATGCTGGGATGATTTTATTATATCGGATCCACTGAACATTGACACTGCTACTATTCATTGATTTATCTCCCTTCATATCCAATATCAGAACCATGTTACCATCCATCCATCAAGAAGCAATACATTTCAGTGATGAACCAACTAGTAATATAAAAACTTCAAGACTTTGATTAATATGTGCCACCAAAACATGACAACAGACATTTTTTAGCGACAAGTAATAGCAAGAAACCCTGTAATAGCAACGGTAGGACAAGTTACTCGAGCCAGCATGCAAGCAACGGTAGAAGATCGCATCTTGAAACCTACACAAATGTTCAAGTGGGCAGCAGAAAATAGTCATGGAATGAAATTTTATTATGTATTTTATGATGATTTTGTGATCTGTACAGCGAATAATTTGTCTGAGTGCTTGACTGAAGTAAAGACTGGTGCAGCCATCCATTCTCATCAGAGAAAGCCAATTCTGAATTGAAGACGAAGGTCTCTGCAGTCTGATTTTACCATGATCAGACAATATTGATCGTCAGTGCACTGACTTATTTCACATACCATGATAATTTGCAGCCTGTAATGTATGTTGCATTTGCTTATAACAAAAAATGGTACATTAAAAGTATTTCTGGGCCATATGATATATTCTGATTTCTTATAGGCTTCATGTATCGATCCTGTACACGAATCTCTCATGGCAAAGTGTATTACGTAGAAGACAGTGTTGGGTGACATTCTATGATGTCGTCTGTTTGGTTAGTGCTCCTAAAATAAATGACATCGAGCTAATATGAGGCATTTATTATGAAGCAAATCCCAGCAGTTTTGTAATAATAATGATACATATAATTGCTTACATGACTGAAGTATTATCTTTGCATATCTTGTTTATATTCTTTATTTAGTTCCATTTTCAGCTATAAAAATTGTTACAGACGAATGGTGTTTATTATTAATCTTTTAGTGTGGCGACAGGCTCGGAATAGCAGGAACAAAAAAAATTATTTGAGGGTAAAACCACTGGGAAACATTGCTGATGTTTGGCAAAAGATTTATTTTTCTTAGGTAATTGACCACACGGTCAAACCATTATCATTATGATGTCACAATTTTTACATTTTATGATTTGTATCAAGTTTGAGTCCCAAATAGGACTTGTCAGTGCGCCTTACTCGGATCAGATTAGTTTGATACAATCCACTGAAGGTTTAGGTTTCAAACAAGATCATAACTGGTGAATTTTGATTTATGATCAGGTAGTGTTCCTACCATTAAATTTGAACAAAGAAAACAAATCCATAATTAACAAAATGCCAAATTTATGGATGCATATTTCTGCAAGGAGCTAAGACATCAAGACACCTTAGCTCAAATTTAAATCTAGCAGTTAACAAAGATTCAGTATAGTAAATGTCAGTCTGTTTACCTGTATCACATGCTACCAAGCATTTAGAGTTGTAAGCCGATACATTTGCAAGTCTATAGACTACTACGCCACCCTTCTCTCCGATGTCGGCCATAGCTTAACAGGTAATTGGAATGTTTTACTGCAATGTTGCAAACAACCATCATTTACATAGTTGTAAACCAGATAAAATGTTTATGGAAATTAGAGATGGTCACCAAGTAATTTATGCGTGATTTGGCACGGAATGATCAACGTCCCAGTCTTCATGCAGAAACATAGTGTGAGACAGCACCGACTAATAATTATATATATATATATATATATATATATATATATATATATATATATATATATATATATATATATATATATATATATAGCACATGTGAGAAATGCATTTCCAATACCCTCTTCTCCAACCGCTCCGGTGGCTTAGTGGTTAGAGCGTCAACCTCAGATGTGGGAGGTCGTGGGTTCGATCCCAGGTCGAGTCATACCAGTGACTTACTAAAATGGTACTAACAGCTTCCTCGCTTGTCGTTCAGCATTAAGAGGTTAGTGTTAGGACTGGTTGGCCTGGTGTCAGGATAATGTGACTGGATGGGACATCATGCTACATGTCTGCAGCATGATGCCCCAGTGCTAGACATCACAATAAACTGCCACACTCTAGACATCGTAGCGGCAGGACTTAAAAATTGTTAAAGCTACGATAAAAATCATAATCACATCATATCACATCTCTCTTCTCCGATTCATTCATGTGTATGGTTGTGTTTTCTGATGTGAGTACGTGACAACTGCCAAATACCATATAACCTACTGCTGTTTACATATTGCACTAAACTGGTTAAGACGCTTTGGCTTCAATCTTCACTTTATTATTCTTTCACAGTAATCAAGATAATGATTAATTGCAACACATTTTATACCAAAACATGAGGCGATTAAGTTAGTGTCCCGCAAAAAGGACATGCTAGTTACAGTTATATATTCTTCAGTCTGGTCTCGTGTAAACAAAAGCTGTTGTTTTTAACTGCTAATATTTTAAATTCATTATATAGTTATTACTAATAAATTGATAATTATTTCTAGGTCATTTTCACATCGAGGTCTATATCCTTATATTTTGCCTATCTCGTTTATTATTAGGGTTACGAGTTGACATTATTATTAACTTACCTGCTCACATTTGTATCCTTGCTCCACATATCGTCAACGCACAATTTGGACGTTGTTTATTTGCCATTACCTGGGTAGTTTTGACTATTCTTCTTTGCACTATAATGTTTAAAGTCATTTAAAGTTTGCATGGAATTTTTAATCTAACTCTAACTTTCTTCGCCCTATCTTAAAATGATGAAATTTTCAAAACGTGTTTTACTACTGTATAATTGCGTTCGGATTCTCATTACTTTAATTTTGATTCATAATCTCATTTCTTTCCGTTCAGGATTGCTGGATACATACTCCTTCATTGTGCCTTAGTGCTGGGTAGGAAAACATCCATCCTCAGAATCTTCAGCAACATGTTGCTTGTTAGATGGAACTTCTTATTATTTACCAATGCATATAAATGATTCTATATGTATCACATAATGTTGTACTGTTTTCTGGTTAGGAATAATGCTGTAAAATATATGTTACATGTCATCATGTGACCGTGTCTTACGATTTTAATGCATACAAACCGGCAACACTCCTCTGCCTGCGTCATCATTATATTACTCTTTCATATTAACCAAAGTAAACATTACTTGCAAAACGTTTACATCCTTAAACTTGCTGAGGTTGAAGTTTAACAAACAGATTTTGTAGTCCTATCCTTAGTAGAAAACGTAGTTGTTGTAATTGTTAATATTTTTGGTTAGGTTGGATTGATGACGCTAGGGTGGAAGTTTTGTGTCATACTCAGATGCATATGATGACAAAAGGGTGGAATTTTCGTATCCTACACCGATACATATGGTGACGCTACGGTACAATTTTCGTATCCTACACCAATACATATGATGATGCTAGAGTGGAATTTTCGTATCCTACACCGATACATATGGTGACGCTACGGTACAATTTTCGTATCCTACACCAATACATATGATGATGCTAGAGTGGAATTTTCGTATCTTACACCGATGCATATGATGATGCTAGAGTGGAATTTTCGTATCATACACCGATAGATATGGTGACGCTACGGTGCAATTTTCGTATCCTACACCGATAAATATGACACAAGGGTGGAATTTCCGTATCCTACACTGATACATATGGTGATACTAGGGTGCAATTTTTGTATCCTACACCGATAAATATGATGACACAAGGGTGAAATTTTCGTATCCTACACCGATACATGTGATGACGCTAGGGTGGAAGTTTTGTATCATATTCGGATGCATATGATGACACAAGGGTGGAATTTTCGTATCCTGCACCGATACATATGGGGACGCTAGGGTGCAATTTCCGTATCCTATGCCGATAAATATGATGACGCAAGGGTGCAATTTCCGTATCCTATGCCGATAAATATGATGACGCTAGGGTGGAATTTCGTATCCTGCACCGATAAATATGATGACGCAAGGGTGGAATTTTCGTATCCTATACCGACACATATGATGACGCTAGGGTGGAATTTCGTATCACACTGGGATGCATATGATGAATTATATTAATTCCACATTGGTACACTGTACGAATGCTTAAACCATTCTGAGCATCTGCGATATTTCTTGCTATTTTGTATGCAAAAGTAAAGTATTGGGGCTGAAAGTCTTTTCCGCAAGAAAGAATTCTTTGTTTGAAACTAAAATTTAAATGATCTTTCCCATGATGAAAATATTGTTGGAAAATATTCCGTATTTTAATTCGGTACCTAACAGATGACTCGCTATGTTTATTTACTCGACACTATTTTCTAGCATGTACGCTGATGTGGGATATAGAAATGACTCTCGGTGGATCCAAATTTTTGGTCGAAAACCCATAAAAGCCTCATACCTTAGCACAGATTCTCATACAAGGATGAGATTCACATATTCCACACCATAGAATGTGGTGACCTTTGTAAGTCTGATTAAACATACAGGAACTGAATTGACCAATGGACGTTATTTTGTCACGGGTTCTGTCATCCTGTTACCGCTAGGTTGTTGGAAAGATCATTCGTACTTTTATTCTCTCACTCAAAACATCATTGGTCGTTGCTCTCGCATGCTAAAAAAGAAACAAATTTCTTTCATAGTGTTGTAGTTCTTTGAAATGATTCAGGAATATACCAAGATGGTCAGACTGGAATTCCGTCTAACAAAGATTTTTTTTTTAGAGCCATATTTACAGGTCGCAGCACGTAGATAAAGGTCAGAGCAGAAACATATATGTTGTATTTTCATTTATTTGTAATCTTTCTTGCCTAATCCACTCCTGAAAATGGTATTGTTTAGGTTAATTATTTTAATTTTGATTACATATTTTTTGCAATCAGTTTTGTTTGATAAGATGTTGTAAACACTTTAATACAAAATGCCCCCATTTCTTCACCCTATAAAATCTGAAAGTCAAGATATGTATGGTGTAAAATCATTTCATACACATTGCAAAGTATATGACATTTAAACATTGTTTAGTAATAGACAAAGTTTATAAATACAAATATTATGATTTCTTTAGTATGGTCTGACGGAAGTCTGAATTTGAACTACACTAGAAATTTCAACCATGGAGATATGTTCGTGTATGTTCGTGTTCTAATTACAGTTTACCTGCAGAATCCGAATTAAACAGAATTTGCAGCACATCGAACTCTACAGAACGTATGTATTCTAATTGGGTTTGGTGTATATTTGATGTATGCTCAGTGGTGAGACTTTAATCAAATATCGCTATCCTATATAGTAACGCCTAAACACGTTCATGCCAAATACGTGACACATTTTCGCTTCCTTAACCTGAGAACGACTACTTAGGCCAAATGTTTTCCGTGTTAGTCCCTGCGGTAAGTTAATGAAGGTACTGCTTAAACCATGTTCTATTTTAAAGACCAACATTTACTTATATTTCGGAACTTACGCAAATCGATTTAGCTCAGCTTCTCCTGCAAAGTTTCTTATCGATTCTCGCTTTTGCATCTGCTTGCTTAGTTTTGTCGAAAATGCTTCCTGATTGCCTATTTTGTGTTAGTTCTACTCCCAAAACGTTCAGCATAAACTACTTATATTTGTTATGAAAAGTACATTAGCTGTGATTCTTGGTCTTTGCCTAATACACATAAAACGAGGAATGAAAAGTGAGTTTCTTTCAAGAGTTGTATTTGTCACATAGAAGAAGACATATTTCTAAGACTCGGCTGCAGACATTGAATATAGAGACAAAACATTATTATATCTTCATACATGTCTTCTGCGTGAAAGAAATACATGGGGCTATTGTGTCTTTATAAATGTATTTTGCATCCTACCTAGTCATGACCCTATTGTGTTTTTATACTTGTCTTCTTCATTATGCATATATACATGACTCTATTGTATCTTTATACGTCTTCACTATGCATAGAAATATAACCCTAGTGTATCTTTATACACATCTTCTTCATTGTGCATAGAAACATTACCCTATTGTGTCTTTATACGTCTTCTTCTTTATGCAAAGAAATATGAACTTATATCTTTCTACACATCTACTTCATTATGCATAGAAATATGACCCTGTGTTTTTCTTTCTACACGTCTACTTAATTATGCATAGAAATATGACCCTGTGTTTTTCTTTCTACATGTCTTCTTCATTATGCATAGAAACATGACCCTGTGTTTTTCTTTCTACACGTCTACTTAATTATGCATAGAAATATGACCCTGTGTTTTTCTTTCTACACGTCTACTTCATTATGCATAGAAATATGACCCTGTGTTTTTCTTTCTACACGTCTACTTAATTATGCATAGAAATATGACCCTGTGTTTTTCTTTCTACACGTCTACTTCATTATGCATAGAAATATGACCCTGTGTTTTTCTTTCTACACGTCTACTTCATTATGCATAGAAATATGACCCTGTGTTTTTCTTTCTACACGTCTTCTTCATTATGCATAGAAATATGACCCTGTTGTGTTTTCATACATGTCTTCTTCATTAAGCATATAAACATCTCCCTATTGTATTTCTTTATATATGTCTTCTTCATCATGCTTAGAAACATGACCCTATTGTATTTCTCTATACATGTCTTCTTCATTATGCATAGAAGCATGACTGTTGTATCTTCATATATGTCTTCATTATGCATAGACACACTACCGTATTGTATTTCTCTATATATGTCTTCTTCATGATGCGTATAAATATGACCCTATTATATCTTCATACGTGTCTTCTTCATTAAGCATAGAAACATGACCCAATTGTTTTACTCTTTACATGGCTTCATCATTATGTTTATAAACATGAACCTATTGTACTTCTATATACATGTCTTCTTTAGGATGCTT